TCTGTGTATGTTCCAATGGAGACAAATCTTAGATAATAAACTCCACAATTATTTAAAACTGTTATTCACGGTATTTTTACATACCACATTTCAACATTTAGGTAGGAAAACAATAATAAAAACAAACAAACAAAAAAAAACTTGTAAAAATATTTTCTTAATGAAATTTTCTCTTCCAGTAACTGAGGTGAAACCAAACAGCATCTGTGCTTTGAAAGGTTCATCAGTGAGTCTGACCTGCTCAGCTCCACATTCACATACAAACAAGAAATGGTTCATTGTTTATATGAGTGGTACAAAGTCTGTATTTAATGAGCTCCCTGCAGATAGAAATGATGGAAAATACAGAATATCAGAGGACAGTTTCTACACTTTAACCATCAATAATCTGACAGAGAGAGATGGACGACTTTACTGCTGCTGTGAAAAGTCTGCACAACAAAAACAGGACTACACATCAGAAACAATGATTCAGCTCCATGTTACAGGTACAGTCATTGTTACACATTTCTCACTKATTTATTAAAGATTAATCAATAAATTTATCTTATATATCAATGATCATCCCAGATGTTCAGGTGAAGGTGTTTCCTGCCTCCGAGGAACAGAAAGTAACTCTGATGTGCACAACCAGCTGTTCTCTGWCTGAAAGCYCTGCAGCCTTCATCTGGTACCAGAACACAGAGTTCCTCTATGAGGACTGGTCTCCCTGGTACCAAGAACTGGTCAGCAGTGAGGRCTCAGTCAGATACTCCTGTGCTGTCAAAGGCTACGAGCAGCTCAGAGCTCCTGACGTCTCAGTGGGTCAGAACCAAGAAATCTAGATTTATCACATCAGAAAACCTTTGATGAGACACACTGACTGTTTTCTGTTGAACTAAATAGTTTGTTTTTGGTTCTGATCAGGTTCTGTCACATCGACCTGCTTCAGTGTGACCTACTCTGAAGGAAGAATGTGTTCCAACCATCAAACATCAGAGAAACAGTCCTGCTCTGTCATATTACCCAGAGGTGACTTTTTTTTTTTTCATTTTTCATCAACATCTCTCTGATTTCTTACAGATCACAGTTTTAGAGTTAACTGTCCCTGAAATAAAATGATGAATGTTAATAATAAAAAAGTAAAAGTTTTGTTATTTAATACTCAAATAAATGATAAATCTTCATTTCCCAACAGAAATACATGTTGAAAGGAAAAACATAACAGATCATGTTGAGCTGAGCTGTAGAACCAGCTGTCCTCGGTCTGAACCTCTGACATCCTTTCAGTTGTATAAAAACAGGAAAAAAGACAAACAGATTACAGTTCCCAAATCATCAACAGACAGTTTCTTCTGTTCTCTAACAGATGTTGAGGATCTGTTCTCTGCTGAAGTCTGTGAGTTTGAACCAGATTATAGTTNACCTCAATGAATTCAGACAGCACCTGTCAGAAATACTTACTCGTCACAGACACCGCCGCCTGTCGCTTGCTGCTTATATATATATATATATATGAAAATTTTGTATATTATTAACTGAGTTTTTTTGTATTTTATACTTAGTGCAGTCACATGATTTGAACAGAGAGTCAGTATGTTTCTATCACTATGGCCCTTTCTCACAGGATGAGAAAAGGCCGTAAAGGGTCTCACATGTGATTTTATGGGGGTGACATTATTCTGTATTCCTTTAAGTGCTGCCTGAGAAGCAGCTGCTGCTGWATTGTTTTGCTTTTCTGATACGACCCAAGGCCTGTTAATTATTAAATTGGCTAGTAGAAAATAGCTTTGGTGGTAGAAATTGTTATACAGACTATAACAGTATGCTGTACAATATGAATCATACTGCAGTTTAGTAAATAGTAGTAAGTATTTTTTAGTACAACTTATTGAATAGTACAGTATATTGCCTTATGTCAGGTTTTTTTTTTTTTTTTGTTTGTTTTTCAGCTAGTCACTGTGTCACACGAATTGTCCACTAGAGGTCTTCTCTTTCTCAAAGTCAAATAATAAAGAAGGAAGTGATTTTGAAAATGTGAAGTTGTGGTCAGATTGTCTGACAGACTCACTGATATAAAACTAACCCTCTTCCCTGTTATTCACTTGTTGATTCTGACCTGTTAAGTTTGACATGTTTAAACCTTTGATGAGAGCAGGAACGACAATAATCTGAAACAGATTTTCTCATCAGAAGTTGAAGTCAGCAGCAGCCATGTTCCTGTCAGAAACTGGATGTGTGTTCACGTGTTTCATTCTCTGCATCTCAGGTAGGAAAGACAGATTTTATTCAGGTTTCAAGCAAAGATGTGTGTGTCTGTTAAAATGCATTACATACCAGAGATTTTAACATTGAATTAGGATTGTTAAAACCTGAATGAGCGACATTGGTTTGGATTTAGGGGCAAAAACGTAATCACAACAAACAAAACTTGTACAAATGTTTCTGAATGAAATTTTCTCTTCCAGTAACTGAGGTGAAACCAAACAGCATCTGTGCTTTGAGAGGTTCATCAGTGAGTCTGACCTGCTCAGCTCCACATTCACATAAGAAATGGTTCATTGTTTATATGAGTGGTACAAAGTCTGTATTTAATGAGCTCCCTGCAGATAGAAATGATGGAAAATACAGAATATCAGAGGACAGTTTCTACACTTTAAC